AAATGACAGCGTCAGGATTGCAACGGCTGTAGGCAATTCCACAGCTGACATCAAGCCCGTCTGCTTGGCGCCTGTCCAGTCTCAGACTATTGAATTGGCAATGTCAATGGGGCTGATTATTACCACTTCTTTATTGGACAGACGCTGGACTAGCCGGACTTGACGTCCGGGAATGAAGATCACAAAGCCTAATGTAGAAAAGTGTGCAGTGAGTTTGGCGTCATACTAGACCGTTTGGATCAGGTCATCGGACGATCACTGTTCAATCTGTGTTTTGCAAATATCACATCATATGCAGCGAGCCGCGTTTGTCGACCACAGAATTGTCTATAAAGCCGAGCTTTGATGCAACCCTTGATCGACCGCTTCTTGGCGTACATATCTTATCACGCCAACTGGGCTACTTCCCCATTGTTGGTGTTGACAAGCTGACAAGTCCGTGCTGAGCTGGGCGATCTTGACTTCCTATGACTCCAGCTGGATCACGATTTCGCACTTGAGGATCATCATACACTGACGTGTACTAGCAGTGAACTGGGGATCTCTGCATCTGCATATCTGCCGATCAAGACGAAACTAAAGCAATCGCCAAGGAAACACACGACCGCCAAGTATCCAGACCCATTAAGGCGCTGTTGTGCTCTCAATGGAGTGGAAGACCGCAGACGATGACCGAATGTTCCTTGGAGAACCAAAACTCGATATTCCCTTCCATCTCCGAGCACTTCCAATCATCGCCGCTGTGTGCATGGTCCGATTCACTTCCAATCTCGACGTGAAAGCCTCGCACTATCGCAGGAGTAGACTGGACATGACAGTAGCACAAACGCCGTGGGCTCAGATATTCCTTGATGCGATAGTGGCCAAATCTACAGTCCCCCAAGGCTCTCTGAGCGCCATTACTATAGTCGAATATCATACCCTTGCATTCAAAGTTTTCGTCTTCCAGAACCTGAACGACAGTCACGTCTTTCAATGGCGCCACGGAAAGATACATATGCTCAAACATGAGATGAAGGAGAGGATCCATATTCGGCCAGCGGTTGTTGAACGGCGGCAGGGTATCGCGTTGCTGCTTCCGCGGATATGTTCCGAACACAGTAGCTGGTCCGACGTCTGCAACATTGTGAATGAGCAGCTCCGGACTTGACTGGCTGAGAACGATATCTCTGTGCTGCCTAAGATGGCATGGGCCAGCATACACATCCCCGGCTAGCTTTGTACGAATCTATTTTCATTAGTACAGTCAAGTTAATCACGAAAGGAAGATGTCACCATGAAAAAGGGCTTCTGCGTTGTGGCCCCTCCCCCTTCAACTTTCAACCGCATCGCGATCGCCGTGATTTCTTCATCTCTCGGCATCGGTAGGTATATCCATACGATGCTTTCCTTTCTTTTCGCAGGAAGTCGGTCATAAGTTTTCGTTGCATAAGGCCTCGCATGCGTATGCGCATGTATTGCGTATAGCTTGCTGAAAGAGAAGAAAAACGTGAGGCCTGTTACACTGCGTAAGTTGGTGGTCTTGAACTGCATGGACGGTGTCACGCGGCCATAAAAGTCGCAGTCCTCAATACCGGGGGGGCTGGGGGTATCCCAGATGTGAAACCCCAACAAAGATGCAGGGAGCTCAAGTCGCAATACGTGAAACTGGGTGCCCTGGTCAGTTCAGATCATGGCAATATCCAGAGCAACCTCGTCACCTTTAGCACAGCCACAACATCCTGAAAGCAAATCGCTGGTGCAATGACGAATGCCTCCTTATCCGAGCGTTTGGGATGGTATGATGATTTTGATAACCGTTCTATCATACGTATGCCCCTGTGATCAAGAGTCAAGCGTACTACTGGCGGGCAGTCGCTTGATAGCACAGCAGCACAATCTCCTCGTGTCCAAGATAGGATATTACACAAAGGTATTGAAGTAACCGGCGGAGCGGCATCGGACTGTAAGCGGGACAATTCCCGGGCTATGCTGAGAGCATGGATGTAGCGCCAGAACGTTGCCGAATCACTGTACTCTTGTATCATTTGGATGAGCTCTGCTGGCAGGAGCTTCAATAGTCGAATACCGTAAGCTTCTGCATTCTCGCGGACAATTTCGATGTCAAGTCCTGTTTCACGGTCCAGTTGAAGCATTGGAGCACGTTGCCAGAGATTCCTCTTGCCGATTGTTATCCACAATCTGTCGACCGCCTTGTCGATTCTGCAGTGTTCTTTGAACAGACTCAGGCACGTAGAATGCAAGCCTACTGCCTCGGTAGCATCTGTGCATCGCCTGCAGCTCGGTGCCCAGCAAATGACTATGGTGCCAACTCTGATGCTCCGAGAGTCGGGGAATACCGCACGGTCTAGACAAATCCCTGATTCTGGCTCAAGACCGTCACCTAGCACTGCAAACTTGCTGTTAGCTGATGGAATAACATGAGAAGAGTGATGTCAAAACTAACAAGCCACAAAGCTCGCGCCAGCCAACAATACCCTGCTGCAGATACCGCATTGAGTACGAAGGCGATGATGCCCCGTGACTCCGCCGACCAAGGAGTTCATGATGGCATTGAATGAAGATGTACTACGAAGAGGGGAATATCTCGCGTTTGACGTGACCTCGGTTCGGATTATTGAGGAACCGACATACAGATGTCAGCAATTGGATGCGACGATGCATCGATGATTGGTTACACGGTATGAGATGGCCGGGGGCTGGACCTTAGAGGAGACCTGATTAAAAACTGTGTTTAAAATTCGGAATCCGGTTTTACAAGGCTTTGGTAATCTAAGATATTCCACCAGGATCGGGGCTATGCGATGGGACAGGTAGAGTTCGCCGGTAGAGAGACCTGGACGATAGCATCGTAAAGATGACGGGTAATCAGGAGATCCAAACTATATCTACGCTATTTTGCTTCCATAGTATATGAAATTGAATAATGAGAGGGTCCGCTGTCGCTATACAATGGAACGAAACGAGTGTTGATGAAATAGAGAAGACCATCGCAGGTCACGTCTACTATTCAAGAGCTTATCCCTAGCCGCAAAACCTCCACAAGGCTCACGAAAGAAAATTCCATTGAGTTTAATACTATAACTTAGTTTACTTCGATACAGCATAGCAGCTCACAATGCTACAAAAGTGGCACTGCTTCGAACAATGTATACCTTACTGAATCGCATGATACTTCACCGAATGAGAATATATTGATGAGTATAAGATTTCTCTAACTTGCATCTAGCTCTTGATACTCAAGCGCAAGACGCTTTGCTATGTTTACCCGGCTCGAAATTATCAGTATGTCGCTTCCAGCTATCCTGCTGTTGAAAATGACGCTGATGTTCCATCACTCAGCCTAGGCCTCTGAACGCTGGATTCTGAAGTGGAAGCATTTCAGTACACAGGGAATTAGAAAGGATTAGCGAGACCTATTACTAGTGTTTCTTTCTAATAAAATCCGTTTGCTTCTGAAAAAACGACAGGCAACGCGATTCTCGTATCTTCGCCTATCACAGGAAAGACAGGAAGCAGCCTCTACAAAATATTTCCAAGCGGCACAGGCCGTATCTTCACCTATCATTTGAAGACCAGGCTACAACTAGCGGAAGAGGCTTCAAGCCAAGAAAGGCCGTATCTTCGCCTATCACCAGTAGTGGGTAACGTCCCGGCAGTTGACATGTCTTGCAGTCGTAGAATATTCTTGCTAGGATGGACCCTGTATTGTTGGCTTGTGCGACGTGAGATCTCGGGACAAAACGTGGTATGGTATTTCCCCGATTATCTCCGGTAAGGCTGTTCTGTATCGCGAATATTAGTCTGCCTCTTCATCCTACTACCGATCTCACCCAAAACAGATTTGATTAGTTCTCCCTCAACCTCTATCGATTTTCAGCCATTTGGCAACGACAATATGTCAAAGGGCATGTCTTAGTAGCTTCAACTTCGATGTATGAGTAGGTTATGCTTTATTCAGTAATTCTTGATCCTTACAACGTTGCAGCGGCAGAGCCCAGGTTACAAAGACCGTCGGGCGTTATCGTCGAACCATGGAAGCGACGTCGCCAGAACCGGGTAAGCTCTCATCCACAAACCCAAAACGTTTGTAAAGTCCGGCCCCAGACTTGCTTGCATCCACATACGCTGCAACTCCGTCCTTGTCTGCTAGATCACAGCCAAATTTCATAAGCATTGAGCCAGCTCCGCAGCGTTGATAGTCAGGGTGCGTGACCAACGTATCGAGATCTAGATGAAGTACGGTTAGCTGATCCGGGGTCCAAGGTAGGTCCGAGTAGCCCCTTACAGTAGTGCTTCAGGTCTCCCATAACGCGGAGTCTTTCCGCTTCCTCCTTGGCGATGAAATCGTCGCAGACTTGACCAGGCTGATCCTGAGTCCATGGTGGATATCGTCGACCCCGCTCGCGGGGCATCGAAGTATCCCACTTGGCGAAAGCCGCGATGCGCGGACGGCCATTAGCATCTTTAGAGTCTGGATCGACAACTTTGACGTAGCGTTGAAACGGCTTATGGATCAAGTCGTGACGATTGCCTTCGGTCCACCAGTTGCGTACCGCCGGTGTATCAGGCCAGATGCGTTGGATTCCAGGATCGGTAAAAGCTGCGAACCATACCTCTGTCAGAACGGGTACATCTTCAAGCGTGACTTCTTCGAGTCTGAGGTTTTTCGGCGCAGTCATCTCGACACGAAACGGCGGTGAGAAGTTTAATGAAAGGAGTAGGATTCAGGATGCAGTTCTGTCTATCAGTGGAATTGCGCAAGCTTCTATTGGCTAATGAGTTTGAGGGGTCTTTTGGTAAGCAAAAAGCCCGTCCGAGGCCCAGTTTTCACTCGTTACATTCACTTGAAATCAGGCACTGTTAGTTCTTTTGATCCCTGGACTGTGTACAGTAGCTCAAGTGTTTGTTATTAATATTACCATTCGCCTGTTGCTTAGTGGCGTTTGTTCCATTCCGTTGCCACAATCTGAACTTGCTATAACTTAAATATTACCAGTTTATGACAATGACGATACCAGAGCTTTCAGGTTGTTGAGTGGACCAAGGTACGAGTTAATAGGTGTGATTTGCCGGAACGTTTCATCCAGCAAACTGGGCAGGTCAACTCCCAGGTCAATCATATACGCCTGCGATGTCTGGCGCTGGGCGTATAAAGCTATCGTGTATAGGTAGGCATTAACCATCAGCGTGCTCGACAGGTTCCTGCCGGTCAAGAGGTCGTTAAGTGGGAGCCAGAGTTTGTAGTCTCGCAATAGCCGGATCCGTTCGAATTGTTTATCGGCGGGTGTTGATGGCTCCAGTTCGGTCAAGTCCTCCGCAAGGGCGATGAGTAGCCGCAGTTGTCTCCAAGTGTCATCGTCCGGTTCTTGCTCCTTCAAGAGGGCCTTGAATTTCTGCATCTCGACAATTATACGTTGTAGTCCACTCGGCTTCCCGCACTCCGTCTTGAGCGTTGTGTGCAGATGGGCAGTTTGACGCCATGCTTTTGATATCATGTGATAAAATCCGGATTGGTGACCTAGCCGGTGGCATGTTTGCAGAATCTGAACTTTTATGAGCTTTGGTGCAACGCGTGGCGGAAGGTAAATACTCACCGCTGAGATCCCTTCTGCAATCTGTCTTCGGCTCGACCTGGTCATGTCAATACTTCCGTCCATCACCGCAGAGAAGCGAACTCACATGTCTTCACAGAGCCATAGCAGGGCCATTGAGGCAACAAGGGCTCCATCAGCATGCTCCGGCCTAAAGTTGGACAGACACCTTCTGAGATCCTGGATAGCTAGCATCTGATATTGATACTCTTTCCGACGGGCATGTTGGCAGTGAGTAACTGACGCAACTTGGTATGCTGAAAGGGCGAGTACCCCATTCATCGCCAGGCGAGACGACGAGATGATACGAAAAAAGCTAGAGAGTCAGCATGATGAGATAAGAAACTGCTGGACAAACCAACCTCGGTAAGTATGATGATATAACAGTGAGCTTACTCACTCCCATCGTTGTAAGTCTATGTTGGTTGCTTGCTGCTTGGTAAACGAAGCATAAGTCATCCTCAGAGTATATGGTTGGTTGCAGGGTTATTCTGATACGATCATCCGGTATAGGCATTGACCCTGTCCTTCTCCACTGCCTTACCTCTGCCCTGGCCTTGGCCGACCATGGTCGGCGAGGTTTAGAGGTTGAACAAGACTGTGATGGAGTATTCTCAGGCGGAGGTTGAATGAGCAACTCTTCTTGTGACGGTGTATCGTGAAAGGAACATTTGACCTTGTGCTTAGTGCAGTTCTGGCTGGGGAATCATGAGCTGATGATCACCTTAGTATAGAGGCACGGCCCACCTACCACTGGGGATAGTTCTCGTCGCAGCGGATGTGACGTCGCTTACTGGACCAGACAAATACTGATTAGTATGTTCGACTAGTATCGAAAGTCTTTAAAGTCCCACACACCACGTCAAGCAGCCCATGCGCGACTTTGTATGGCTGCATTTCAGCTCGGTCAGTTTTAAGGTTCGGCAGCGCGAAGGGAAGAGGCCTCAGAGTCGTACCTCCTACGGTTCCCATTTCTGGCTTGACTGGGCGACTTGGATGGCATGATTCAGGTGTAGAACGGGTCACGGCGTGCAGAACAGGCGTCCTTGCGAGGCTCTGCTCACAATCGGTCACCGGAGATAAAGATAAAGGCGGGGAATTAGACGCGTGGGAACAAAACGGCTCTATGCTTCTCTTTAAATACCCTCACGCTAAGACGTTGGGGAATGACACAGATTGGGTCTAGCCCTGGCTCCCTGGCTCCAAAGTGCTAAGTCTAGAACGGCGATACTATCGGAACGCCGCATATTACATACATGCACTATGAGAAGCCGTTGACGTATCGTCACTGCACGGCAAGGTAAAGCATTACAATTCGGGCGAGGACGTTTCTTGGCCGCACGCAATGTCGCGGCAGTTATTATCAGTCAACACTATTACTGGTTAAGTAGTCAAGGCGATCATGGCAGGGGGTCCGGACGAATCGGATGGGGCGAGACCGTTGAAACCTTTTTCTGACCCTGTATTTGAAACACCGGCTAACAGGTCGATCAGATACTGCAGAGTGACTCCTTGATCTTAGATTATCTCCCCGGGGAAGTCTGGTAGCGTTATGGTATTTGAGGCCCAATCCAGTAGGACAAGTGATCCTCGATGGCTGTGACAGTGGTCCTTGCTAAATGACAGATATCTTACAACGTAGCATTCAAGATAACGGCTACCCCGTGTCTAATGAGACAAGACATTTGCCTTGCAAAACTGGCCTGGGATAGCAGTCGCGGCTTCAGAGCTGACACTCCCGGAGGCCTAAGCCATTGTTCTCATCTGCTTGAGGGTAAGCGTGGAACGCCTCGTGGGTTCCAATAGGCGCGGTTCATCCGGAGCCCTTGCTGTGGCGCACATCAAAGAGTTGATACAACGATAACTCCAAGACACCAAAGCTCGTAATTTTGGTAGCCAGGGCCCAGGCCGTATCCCAAGACCAGGCCTATGCTACATAAAGCCTAGGTTGCGACGCTTTGACGTTTTAAGGACCGATACTAACCATGGAAGGGCCGTAGTTCCACCAATGTGATCCTGGACAAATGACATACATGCTTACTCAGGCAGCCATTCGAGACATGCCAAGCTTGATTGGTCTTTTCTAGATAAGCAATGGCCAGAAACTTCTCCCATAGGATATAATCTGCAAGAGTTGATGCTCAGAGCTCCACTGAGAAACTCATATGCCCAAGAACAACATTGCAGCCCAACCAACAATGCACAGAGTCTGAGTGGCTTGACCAATATTCCTAGCCGAGCCAAGCCCCAAGACACGACATGGTCTTCCCCGGAACCCTCAGCCGGGGCTGCAGCCGCTGCAGGAAGCGAAAGATTAAAGTAAGTTTCTTGGTCAATCAATCTGAATTTGACAGGTCAACGGCGCAGCCCCTATACTAACCTGTTCCTACCAGTGCGATGGCAGACGCCCAGGATGTCGACGTTGCGAGCTCTACAAGGCTCCATGCCCCGGCTATGATCGACCACTAGCGTTCCGCTTCCACGGAGAGCCTGGACATAGCCTTGTTCGTGATGAGCCCGGCAGCTCTTCCGCGCAGACCCTCGTCTTGGGCATGGGGTTCGGCTACGAAAAGGCGAGGTCCAGAGGCTCAGGGGTTTGTCGACAACCCCAACCCTCGTTCGAGGATGAGTCCATCTCGTATTTCTTGCACGAGTACTGCGTCTTGCCGGCGCCAGGCGTCATCAAGGGGCACCTCGACTTTCTAGAGGGCATGTACAGGAGCTCTAGCCGGACATCGTGCATACGCCCGGCGCTCCTTGCTGCAGCTCACATGTCGCTTTCGCGACACTACAAGTCGTCAACGCTCTATGTCACCGCACGATACCACTACGGGGCTGCTTTGAGGACTGTCAACAGAGATCTGTCTGCATCTAAGCGGCCCCTGAAAGATGAAACATTGGCATCCCTGATGCTGCTGGGCATGATCGAGGTAGGTCATGTGCTGCAGTGATCTACAACTCTCTGACGAACCCCCAAGGATATCGAATGCCAAGGTCAAACGACCAAGGCCGTGCACATGGCCGGCATTTCCAAGTTGTTCGACGTAGTCGGGCACCGCGTGATAACAAATGTCGAAGAGTCGAACTTGCATTCGTGGATATTCACTCAAATGGTTAGTAGATCTTAACAGGACCCTTATAGCATGGATGCTGAGACACAAAATAAGCAAATCCCCTCTCTCATGGCCAAGGACGATATGGACTGCCTGGTCATTCCCGACTCACAGCTCGACACATCAAACCCAGTGATCCGCTTAGCCCTGGTCGTCACTCGCATTGGACAGTTCTACAGGGCAGCTAGGCGAATCACGAGTGCAGATTCGACATCGGCATCGAATAAGCAACGGGAATTACTCGTTCCGGTTATCCAAGAAGCCTTGGCAATCGGCGCTGAGCTGGCCATGATTGAAAAGGCCATGCCTACAAGACTACAACCTCAGCAAACAGCGGACAAGCGACCCGCCACTCCGAACAATAAGCCCTTGGTCAGCTTTCAATCGCGATGGACGGCGTGCACGTGGGTCTTCTTCAACATGTATCTCATACTGTTCTTCGGGAGGCTGCATGTATGTGCGGCAACCCTCCTGCGGCTCGTGGACTCAAAGAGCAGTCCGCAGGTTCAGCTCGCTCAGACCACCGCCACCATCGCTGAAAAGCAAGTTGTTTCAATGACTCAGAGGCTCTGCAGTGTCTTGCCCTATCTGATGGGAGAAGTCGACGAGCAGGGTGTCCCACTTCCCGTACCGCAACGTCAGAGCGTCGTCATGTACCATCTGGTCTGGCCACTTGCTATCGCTATCTCAAGCCCGCACAGTAGTCCGGGGCAAGTTAAAGAGTGTCAGGCCAGGCTCAACCTGATCCGAGATCTGTATGGCATCAGACTCGCGTCTTTCGCCCCGGGCTTGGCCAGGGATCTGATGGCGTAAGTCCTATTGAGCGGGCGTATTTGCGATGGGGTTCCCAAACATGGAGAAGGTTCTTCCAAAAAGGACTAGTGCGTCCCGGTAGAAGTGTTAGTGATTATACGTTTCAGGCTGATGATACATAGAAGCTGAGCTAATGCTTCTGGCTGAGAATGGCGTATGGTCGGTTATGTTGCATTACGAATTACTTAGATTCTAGATGAGTATGTATGATAGTTTCATGAATAAACTTTTTGCTGGTCATATCTGAGTCTAGAGGCCTTTTTGCTAGGTACAAATAAATCGCCGGTTGGTCTGGCTTGAGAACGTGTACCTATTCAAGCGCTTCAGTGTCAGTTTCAGGGAGCCTGGCACGAAATGTCTGCAACGGAAAAGGAAAAGCTCCAGGGCAAATGTAACTAATGTTAACTTGAAAGGTCTTAGCTCGTTACACTATTTTACTGTACCTGGCTGATCTGCTCCGGGGCTATTCTCATACCTCGTTGGTATCTCGTTCCTTACTTGGAATTACTCCGGCTTACGCGACGGTTGATGTACCCGCAAGATAAGTTGCAAAAACATCTATTAGCCTTTTTGCTTCGCCGAGATATCTTGGAGAGGTAACGATAGCTACCGCAGTTGCGGGCATGAGGTCGTAATAATTTATTGTTGATCTCGTTGTTTCGACCAGAAGCGGCATGCCTTGCGTGCTTGCGTGATGCATCGGTTGATCTCTGCCAAGGTACAGGGTAGTCTCGTCTAGTTAGGCGAAGTGTCACCTAACGGTCGGGCCCGAAAGAGGCTAGAGCGATTCACTGACAACTCCACTTGATTGCTACCGCGTCAATAAACTTCCTCCTCTACTATCACTATCATCTAACTCGTCTCGGTTAACCATGCGAACCTCGCTCCGAAGATCTTGCAATGCCTGCGCGAAGGCGAAGCATAGTTGCGATCTCGGAACTCCCAAATGTTCACGATGCCTCAAGAGAAAAGTCACGTGTATCTACGCAAACGTGCCTTTGTCTTCTTCATCGACAACATCATCATCAACACCGGAACAGCCGGCTCAGAGCAGGTCAATAGAGAAGTCTGAGGTGAAGGCGTATTCTTTGAAGAGCCGAGACTTAGATTCGGTCTCTCAAGATTCAATGGAGCTATTCGCACCCGCTGGCAATTCCTTCGATCCGTTTGACTCATATCCAACCACCAGACTTCCCAGAGTTCACGTTCAACGATTGATACAGCACTGTAAAGCATTGTCTAACAAGTTTCAAGATGGTCTAATATCTAACCCAAGGACTAGTTCTATCAAATATCTCTTTTCAATACTACCCTCTGGATCTCAACATGTCCTCAAATCCATTCATCGTCTCTTGGTGGCCATTGGCTCTTGCAGATCCAGCATTGTTCCATGTTTCTATACAGACGGCATCGTTAGATGAAGAGAGACGCGCCCAGAAGGGCTTCCCTATATCGGAACTTCTCATGGTAGATTCTGTGTCTCTGATACGGAAGAAGATAGGGAGTTCGTTGCTGGCTATTCAAGATGAGACTTTGAATTCCGTTGTCACTTTGGCTGCCATAGAAGTGAGTAATTTCTTCGAGACCGACTATGACTCTGTTAATTGACTCCTGCGTTTAGCATGGAAAGGGGAATATTGAAGCCAGTAGAGCGCATATAGACGGGGCGAAACGTATTGTTGGGATCCGAGGTGGGCTTGATCAAGTGAAGCAAGTAAGTCCATTGACCGCGAGGATGATTGCTTGGTGAGTCACATCTTCCTACCGCCGCGAATGACTTGCTGAATTCGTCACAAAGGGTATCGTTGCTCGTCACAGGCTCTCCTCAATATGCAATACAGGACGATCTCGGAATTGGAGATGGTGTTGGTCCAACACTGCAATGGCTTCTCGCATCATCCTTCCTTGAGATCCAAGACCCTGTTGTCGACGCTCTTCTCCTCAATCGCGAGATAGGAGATATTCTGACTCGCTTGCGCGGCATATTTCACCAACCGAACGCCTTGAGTTTGATAGGCACCGAACTTCACGATCTTACATGTTTCGTGGTTCACAAGCTTTTGCTCATTCCGCCACT